AATGTGCCGCTCAAACACTATACTTTTCCGCACACACTGAAAAAAAATTAGAGGGAACATTGGGTGCAACCAGGCCTCCTCAGTGGCAACACCAATATTATGGAATCCCCCAAGGTCTTAGTGCTTCTTGGCTGCTTGTCTAGTCAGATTTGAAAAACACTTATGTAAGCTAGCTTTCCTTTGTGATTATCTCTTTGAATTTATCAATTTGCTTGATGGCTATTTTAGCAATGTTTTATATGAGCTGTTACATATTATTTTGTATTTATGTCAGCTTTGTTGGCTACTTTATTATATAATATGTTGGAAATCATTATGGTCTGGCTTTCCAAGAATATTTAGGTAGAGATTTAACAGTAAATAAAATAAGTAAACATTACATTGGGAGGAGTATTAAAATTCTTTATTAATTTTAATAGTTTTGTAGGGTGTGCTTTTTCACATTCCAATTTTCTATAGTATTTGTAGTTGATAATTCCAAATATGTTTTCTTGCTCTTATCTTAGGTGGAAAAAATCCGCCAAGTGAAAGCCAAATCCCTCTACTTGCAAGTTGAAAAATTACGTCAAAATCTTAATAAGCTAGATAACACCATCAGCGCAGTCCAGCAAGTCTTGGAAGAGGGACGGAACATGGATATCCTCTTGGCACGGGATCGGATGCTTGCACAGATGCAGGAAATGAAGAATGTAAGAGGCTTCCTGCAGCCTCAAGAGGATGACAGGGTCATGTTTACTCCTCCTGATCAAGCACTGTATTTGGCCATCAAGTCTATGGGGTTTGTCAGCAGTGGGGCCTTTGCTCCTCTGACCAAAGCCACTGGGGAGGGTCTCAAACGTGCATTGCAAGGCAAAGTAGCTTCTTTCTCAGTGATAGGTTATGATCATGATGGTGAGCCTCGCCTTTCTGGGGGAGACATGATTTCAGCTGTTGTAATGGGGCCAGATGGAAATCTCTTTGGTGCTGATATTTGTGACCAGCAGAATGGAACTTACCTTGTAAATTACAGGCCACAGATGGAAGGGGAACATCTGATCTCAGTCATGATGTGCAACCAGCATATAGAAAGCAGCCCATTTAAAGTCATGGTCAAATCAGGACGTAGTTATGTTGGCATTGGATTGCCAGGGCTCTGTTTTGCTAGTGAGGGGGATAGTGATGGAAAGCTGTGCCGCCCCTGGGGTGTTAGTGTAGATAAGGAAGGCTATATCATTGTTGCTGATCGTAGCAACAACCGCATTCAGATCTTTAAACCTTGTGGGGCTTTTCACCACAAGTTTGGCACCTTGGGCGCCAGACCTGGCCAGTTTGATAGGCCTGCTGGTGTTGCCTGTGACTCCTCACGGAGGATTGTTGTGGCAGACAAGGACAATCATCGCATCCAGATCTTCACTTTTGATGGCCAGTTCATTCTCAAGTTTGGGGAGAAGGGAACCAAGAATGGGCAGTTCAATTATCCATGGGATGTAGCAGTTAACTCTGAGGGAAAAATCCTGGTGTCCGACACAAGGAATCATCGGGTTCAATTGTTTGGACCTGACGGAGTGTTCCTGAATAAATATGGTTTTGAAGGAGCACTCTGGAAGCACTTTGATTCCCCACGAGGTGTGACATTCAATCACGAGGGCCATCTTGTCGTGACTGATTTCAACAATCATCGACTTCTAGTCATTCGCCCTGACTGTCAGTCAGCCCGTTTCCTTGGGTCTGAAGGCACAAATAATGGCCAGTTTTTGCGCCCACAAGGTGTGGCTGTGGATCAGGAAGGTCGTATTATTGTCGCAGATTCTAGGAACCACCGTGTACAGATTTTTGAGCCAAATGGTAGTTTTTTATGCAAATTTGGCACTCAGGGAAGTGGCTTTGGTCAGATGGACCGTCCTTCAGGTATTACAGTCACCCCAGATGGTATGATAGTTGTGGTGGACTTTGGAAACAATCGAATCCTCATATTCTAATCTGTGTATATGTGTACTAAGAAGAAACTGTCTCAGGGAAAATCCTTCTAAGAGATCTTGCCCCACATAAACACACAAATATTCCAATGATAGTTCAAACCTACCTCATCTTTAATTTTTTTATAGATGAATGTATTTTCCCTTTATATCTGCAGGGGTTGAACCTGTGATTATATGAACTCTTAATCTACCTCATTATCTTTATGTTCCTTTATACCCACAGTATACACAGTGCAGTATAAAATTAAGTCTCTTTTTCCCTAAATGGGACACTCATGCACAAGCTTATTTATGTGCACATTAGCTGGTTGTGTGATAAATTTTGTAGATTCTGCCAAAGAGGCACACTCATCTTGAAAAAGAAGAAAAAATCAGTAGTTTTAGATTTTTAATTGTTTTATATTCAGATTGTACTGTGTTTTTCTTATTGGAGAAGGTGAAGGGAGCTGTATTTTTAGATGCTGCTGCAGCAGAGAAATCGTTTCTTTGTTCTCTTTTTTTATACCTCAGTGCATTTGACATACTGTTCCACATAGCATCTTATTTCAGAAGGCCTTTTCTTTTGAAATGGGATGGAAATCACCAGGCAAAACAAAAAGGCTAGGTTCTTTGTCACTGGTACTTTTCTGCATGTGTATTTTGAAAAATGCAGTAATTTCACGACACCAAAACAATGTTTGAGGATGCACAAAATGTTGTGATGTGTTCAACCTTATTTTGGTAGTTTGGACTTTGGCCCAAAGGGCCGCAGGGCAAAACCACCCATATACATAATAGCCCTGGAGCTCCTGGAAACAACTTTTTTTATCTGCTAGGCAAAGTTGCTTTCTACACTTGGAAACTTCAGAAGTTACCTCTGTTGTTGACGAAGGAGCTGCTAAATGGGTGAGAATGTGTCTCCCCTAATAGCTTTTGACTTCAAAAGGATATTTTTGGAATGTAGCTTTGATATAGTTGGATGTTCAAGGCAAATGAGGATTTCCTCTTAGGCTAGTGTTTTTTCTCATAACCTTTCTTCCAGTTCTTTTTTTTTTAAGTTACTTCCCTTATGTATTCTGTATCTGTCTATATATGTGTAACAAATACGTGGCAATAGCCATTACAATGAGTCATGTTTAGGCATGATATGATATTTCTGTTTTGAAAGTTTGTGTTGAAGAAATTAGCTTTTTGTAGTTGTAGAATTATCAAGACATGTGATTTTTCAGGTATATATATCACAAGAAGTTCAAATTTGGAATTTCAGGGTGCATATCAGAAGTTAACAGTAAGGAAAGAAAGTAGATAATAGTATGTAATCTGAGTGGACGGTTTTCTGCCTTCTTCAAACAAGCCCCCCCCCCCCCTATTAAATGGAACATCTACATGGGAAATTCATCCTGACAGGATAACCATGTAGCTCCCTCTTTGGGATAAAGACTGTGGAAAGTGAACCACCCTAAATCCTACCTCATTTGCTCCAGCGCCAAAGAATGCCATGTAAAATGGGGGTGCATTTCTAAAACCAAAACTAGTAAATACCTTGAATTCAATCAGCCACATTTAGCACTGAAAATACTGAGAATATTTATACTTCTCCAAGAAGCTGTAACTCAAGTTTTATATCAAATTATAGGAATGTAATTCCTTTCCTGCTTTGTCATTAACCCCTATATACTCTATGAATATTTGAGCAAATGTGTGTTGAGTTACTATGGTGCTTAGTCTCTATGCTAAGGCTATCCTTGGAGTCATGTCTGTCAGGTAGTCTAATGTCTTTTATTTACGATCCTGCTTGGAGATCCAAAATATTGATAGAGCAATCAGCAATCTGAGAGTTTTCAAATAGATTACTTCTTTTTTTAGAACTGAGTAATCAGAAGGGGATAATATGAACATTTCATGTAGTGACTGAAATGATCTTTAATGAAAAATAATACTTCCTACCCAACCATATATTCATTACTGGCAGATCTATCCTTGAATGTTTTGACCAGAAGAAGATGTTATGACTGCACTTTTTGCATTTCCAAAGGCATTACTTTCTAGATGTGATGAAATTGAATTCATTCTTTAACTGGATGGCTACATTAATAAAAGGAATAGTTAATTACTATATCCTTCTCCCAGAGATTCAGGGTGTTCACAACTTATATTTTTACAATCCTTCACTGAACCATTGTAGCATTTCTAATGTCTTATGCTATATAAATCAGTTGGGGAGACCAAATGGTCTCCTTTTAGTCACCACCAGTATCTCTGAGTTCAAGGATTCAAGTTAGGCTTGGAGTAGAGTTGATAAAATATAAGCTACTTCCAATATTTTATGCTGCTGCAACTGATATAAAGCTAAGTTGCAAAGGAGCTTCACTGCTAAGGGATAAAAGACTGGGCTATCTGAAACTAAGGATTGCCTTCGTAACTATGGGCAAACCAATATACCAGTAGCATACGATGGAGGTGGTATTAATTCTTTAAGATAACATATCATGATGCTTGAAAATATTCTTCTCTTAGACACCAAATATACTATTTCAAAGGGAGGGGGGGTTCTATTGCCCCTGCCTTTAATAATTAATAAAGGCAGGATATAAAATATATAAGTCTTGTCCCATATAAGTCACATTAGGCTTGTCAGAAATTGTTATTGGAGTTGACAAAGAACATTTGAGCATTGTCACTGGAAATTTAAGTTTATCTATCTTGATGCCAAACTTAATGTAAGACCAGTGCATAATCTATGAAGGCATTTCAGATTTTAGTTTGTACTTTAAACTCTAATGTTAGTTTCTCCAAAATGGCTACCAAAGATAACTGGTTAAAAGCTTTATTGTTAACAGAATTCTTGATGTTCTTCTAATAGAAGCTGTTATTTTCATTGATTCCAACTTTGTTTTCTGCTAGGCTTATTGTAAACTAAGCTATTTCTAGAAGTTTTTGTCCAGTAACTTCTGTGCCGTCCATTCTTTCTAACCTCATAAAACTGATAATTAAGGTAGTTCTACTTTTGAAAGACATATATCTGCACACTTACATGCCTACATTTAAGGGGCTATACAAGATTGCAAAGACAGGAACCCTATCAGGGGAAGAAGGTATGTGTTGTGTATTTGTTCATCCACAAATACTTTATTTCATGCTATTGCAGATGTATATCTGCTATTTTGGGACAAAGTAAACAATTTAGAAAAATAGTGTCTTCATACTATTTTCCTCCTTGTGTATTATTAATTTTTTAATTTTTTATATGCTGCTGCTTGGCTGCCAGATTTACTTTTGTCCAGTTACTGCAATAGATAATGCAAAGCACACATAATCTCACTTTAAGGTTTAATGGAAACTTCTCACGGGAGTATTTATAATACAATGAATTAAATAGTATAATAGAAAAAATATTGTCAATTTAAAATGCCCTCTAGGGGTCTGGTTTTATTTGGAATGGACTTACTGGGCTCCTGAGCAGAAATTGAATACAGATTAACACTAGGTGAGCAAAGGTTTGAAAACAGCTTGTAAATGTGTTTATTCTTTAGCTCTTGGCTACTAAACTAATACATCTCATTTACAAAATATTTGTTATTTATAAAGTTTAACCTATATTTGGGGACTGGTTGTGCTTTAAATATTTGAATTTGGCTAATCAATAAGCTGTTAGGTTATTTACTTTTCTAATTATTTTCTTTTCTTGAAAACTCAATAAGGAAGCTAAGAAGTGCTGCTAAATAGCAGGTACTTCAACAGTAAACTGAACAGTGTACTCTTAAATAAATTTCAGGGAAACTAATGGCATTTGATAACTATAAATTATACTCTGCCTAAGATTAATCAGAACGGATACTAAAGGAGGTACTTCTTTATGGTGTCCAGCTGGAATTGCATGATTTGATCCTGTCACTTTTAAGCAATTAAGTTCAAAATTAATTTATTGAAGAAAAACTTCCATTTCATTTTACTCACTTCTCTGATTTCTTTTGAAGATTAGGAGATTCTTATATTTTTTTTCTGGTTCAAAATTCTGGTTCATTTATATAGTGCTTTTTTTTTCTTTTAAATGGTCATATCCAGATGGTGCCAAAAGGTAATGGTGGTTGTTGTTTTAAAGAAAAGTTAGACACCACCCTACCTATGGACACAGTTTTAAGCTGTGTAAAAAGTAAATATTGATACATAAGACAGCACTGTTTATAGTCCTGGTGTCTTTGGGAAATCAGCAAGCCCAATTTGCTGTGATACAGGATGCTTGAATAAATATGTCTTAAATTCCTACCTCACCGTTAATTTTATAAGCACAGCATCTACCTCAAAGTTAGCCTCCAGACATTAGAGGAAAAATTGGGTATTCAGCATGGTAAGAAAACCACCTGAAAGCCAGGTAAGCTTTTTGGTTCCTGCTCCAAAGAGCAATAACATCCTGACTGTTTTCTTTTAATATTAGGCCATCTGAACTAAAAATGGACACCTCAGGCATATCTATTAATCATCTTTCTCTATGACCTTATGTCTAGGGAACAACCCTACCTCTATTTCAATACTTAGCCTAGTTAGTTGCATAATGAATTACTGTATTTTTCAGTGTATGAGAGGCATTCCCCCCACAAAAAAGTGGGTGGAAATGTGTGCCTGTCTTATTGAGTGAATGTTGCTGAAGCCCCGCCAGCCCCTACCCGTCAGCCTCTGCCTCCCAGCAATTTGCCTCCTTGCAGCAAACAGTCTGATCAGCTTCAGCACTGCCTGATTTAACATGAGCAGCTGATTGGCAGTTGGATCTGCCTCCTGGAATACCACAAATCAGCTGTTCCAGGCTGAGGGGATCTCTACTGCCCATCAGTGCCAGCACCACCATCGGTACTGCCACCTATTGCAGCCTCTACATGCCACATTTTTTAACCTCTGTGCAACTCATTTTTGGCCTGTTGTAAGCCGCAGGGAACAAACTGAAAATGGGGCGGATGGAGGCTGAAAATGGGGCATGCGAATAGGTGGCACCGATGGGCAGTGGTGATCCCCACAGTCTGGAACATCTGATAGGCAGTATTCCAGGAGGCCGATCCAACTGCAATCAGCTGCTCATGCTAAATCAGGCTGTGCTCAAACTGACCAGACTGTTTGCTGTTAGGAGGCAAATTCTGCAGAGGCAGATTTTTTTTTCCTCACCAAAAGCTAGGTGCGTCTTACAGTCTGAAAAATACAGTAACTCTAGTTACAGAATCACAACAGGTTATTGGCCTCCTCTCTGAGAAAAAGAAATACATTGCATTTATAACAAGTTGAGAGAAAAGCCATCTTCTGGAGATCTGGAAATGCCT